AAACAGGGTAGTTTTAGTCTAGATATAAGGAAGAAATTCTTTACAATGAGGGTTGTGAAACACTGGAACGGGTTGCCCAGAGGGGTCGTGGAGGCCCCATCCCTGGAAACATTCAAGACCAGGTCGGACAGGGCTCTGAGCAACCTGATCTAGTTAGCGGTGTCCCTGCTCGCTGCGGGGGGATTGGACTAGATGACCTCTAGGGGTCCCTTCCGACCCAAAACTTTCTATGATTCTATGAAGCTGGGCTTGTTCAGCCTGGAGAAGACAAAGCTGTGGGGAGACCTGATTGCAGCCTTTCAGTACTTAAAGGGAGCCTATAGGAAAGATGGGGACAATCTTTTTAGCAGAGACAGCAGTGGCAGGACGAGGGGTAATGGTTTTAAACTAAAACAGGGTAGGTTTAGGCTAGATATAAGGAAGAAATTCTTTACAATGAGGGTTGTGAAACACTGGAACGGGTTGCCCAGAGAGGTAGTGGAGGCCCCATCCCTGGAAACATTCAAGACCAGGTTGGACAGGGCTCTGAGCAACCTGATCTAGTTAGCGGTGTCCCTGCTCGCTGCGGGGGGGTTGGACTAGATGACCTCTAGGGGTCCCTTCCAACCCAAAACTTTCTGTGATTCTATGATACATAGTCTGAGTGTGGGCTTGTGTGTTCTCTTTTTTTTTTTATTGTTTTACTTTAGCTTTTAGGAGAATACGAGTCCCTTGGAAAAGAACATGAAAGAGTAAAGGTAAGTATGTGCTAGTCAATTAAAAAAAAAAAAACAAAAACAAACATGCAAAATATGTGATCATTTGCCATGGAATTAACTTTAGTATTTTGAAAAAGGATCACCCCAAAAGATCCGTATTTATTTTAACTGATGGCTTCTTACTACATCTTCAGAGCCCGGGAAAGGGAGGGAGTTTAGAATGTGTCATTTTCCAGTCATAGACAGTAAAAATACTGCAAAGTCAAAGCCAAAGAAACGTAATGACCTCTCTTTCAAACAGGAAGGCATATTGAATATATTGTTTTAAAGACTGATACAGAGTTACTCATATTTCTTTTAATACACTTCTGTAGCTTCTAGGCTTTTCACTTTTTTTGCTTGTGTACTTGTAGGATACATTAAATGCAACTGAAAACAAATTACTTGATGCAAACACGCAGATTTCTGATCTGAAAAGGTAAATGCAAAACTGTCTTACTACTATTTTAACAGTATGAAATACAGGCTATGGCCTAAACATTTACTCCTGGGTTTTGAAGGATGTACAACTTGCAATTTTAACTACATCTTACAAAGCTTTTCATGTTGCTTTATGTTACTTTGTACACATTGTAAAAAAATCTTATTATTTTAGGATATATGGGATTTTTTTTCTACTTCCTCGAACATGTCTTGCAGTGGGATGTCATTAATTGCTTCCTTTCTGATGGTTGTCACTCAGCTAGCCCAGCCAGGCCGCTGCTCAAGCTTTTACTTGCAGTTGTCTCCTCAGGAGCTCCCATCTTCAGTTAACCAGTGTCTATTCTGGTTTCAGGAGCGAGGATGCTGACAGGAGTTTGCTGTTCAAGATTATGGCTCCTAAGCATGAATAAAGGACAGAAAGGTCTTCCATGTATAGAGCAGGAATAGTATCTCCTGTGGATGTTCCTCATGCTACCTGGATCTACTTTTTGGTTGGGAGAACAGAAATCCATTGAGCTTTATACTTTCTGTGTAGGCCCTAGGCAAACCATGTGTGACCATCAAGGGGTTTAGAGTTACAAACATACCCTCTGGTCTGGGATTTCTCAGCCCCTCCTTGTCAATGGCGTTAAAGAGCGCACCTGCTCAGGAAAGCTAGAGAGGTGGAGGAGAGGACATTCAAGAGGGCTCTGGGGCAGGCATTTTAGAACTGTTCACATTATCTCTCTCCGTTTGAGCTTCTCTTGTGGGTGTGTGCTGTCATAATTTCCTTCTAGGTTTTTATATGAGCAGCTGAAACCCAGACTGTTAGGAAGGTGTGGTGGTTTTTGGTTTGGTTTTTTTTTATGCGTGGTTTTTGATGATGCTTTGAGAAATGTCGCTACAAGCTTCACCTCAAAATTAATTCCAAATGTCATTGCCACCAAGCATTAACTTGTGCATAGTCTTTAGCCAAACCCAGAAAAATAGCAAATGTGGTCCCTGGGAAATGTCTCAGTCCTTTTCTTTGCTGCTCAGATCACCCGATTTTTCAAGAAAAATAGTAAGAATGAATAGGAAGAATTGAAGAAGGGAATAGAAGGAAGCCAAAACCACTCTGTCTTCAATTTTTATTGGGAATGTTGAAAATATGGAGATAGTGTGAAGGAAGTTCAGTCAGTTATTGGTGCTTCTGTTTTCCTGCCTGATTCTTGATGCAGCTAGCTAGGGACCATTCCATACTGGGGAGATTGTAGTGGAAAAAGGACATTTTTATATCCTGCTCCAGACCGCTCTATTTCTTTCCCCCAAGTGGGGAATGCCTAAGATTGTGTTGCATCACTAAGGGCTGGTTCACTGAAAATGGGGGCTGCAGTACGTGGGAGAGACGAAAATCGTGTGAAGAGCCTGAGCAGGAGATCGGTGGAGTTTCCTGAATGACGCACAGGAGAAGGAGCCACTCATTAAAGCCAGCGTCAGGGAGGCATTTCTATAAATACATCATTTCAAGGAGGAAAAATGTTCTTGTTTTGTTTTCCCCAGCCGCTCTGAGTTGAATGCTTTGAGCCACAGCAATATCTCCTGGTCCTGTCTTTCTAGCTAGATTACTTAACTTGTTATCTTTGCATTCAAATACATATTTATATATATATTTAGATAGATAAAAATGTTGTCGTTACTCTTGTTCTTCAGCTTCAGCCAGGATATCTGAACAAGTATGAGAAAACTCTAAGAAATGTGATATCTCTTTTATGTCTTTGAAATCATCTTATAATGCATCTTTGCTGCTTTCCCATTAGGACAATTTCAAAACTTGAAGCTCAGCTCAAGCAGGTAGAACATGAAAATACGTTGAAACTTCGCCATATTACTGAAGGTCATTTAAGAACCTCTTGTACCAAGTAAGCGAGTATTGCAACAATGTGGAAACAGGTCATGTGTTTTAGAATACTTTTTAATGTGTTTTGGCTAAAAATGAATAAAGATGTCAGTCTATAGGCTAAACTGGATTAGATACGTGACATAATCCAGAGACTTCACATGCCAAGAGATTATTAAAAACAAACAAATAAATTGGGTGATATATCTGTGACTTGGCAGACTCTAGTCTTCCCAAATGAGTGTTTGATAGGTCTCAGTTGCTCAGCTGAATAGGGATCCCCATGCTCAGCAAAAATCTTGGGAATAAAATCTAATAGTCCAACTGGACGTTAGAGGTTTTCTGTGTGTCATTGATTTGAAAGGCTGATAACAACATCGTATGTTTGTAAATATAGTTTGTGCAGGTACCCTAAGAGTAGAGTTGGAGTTCAATTAGAATGCATACTCTAGTGTGAACTGTGAATTTATGTTAAGGAAATTAAAGTCGGCCTGTGTTCTGGTTTGCTGCTTTTGTGTTTTGAAGGCCTGAGAAGCTTTGTGTGTATGTCCCTTGTTTTTATTTCTTAGTTATGGCTTCTTGGGTGTCTCTCCCAGTTCAGCACTGATGCTGTAAAGCACAAAATGATAATGTAAGATGTTTTGTGGATGTCCATTTGTATATATTGAACAGTAGTATTTTGAGACCGATCTGATTTTTTTCATGATTATGAAGATGCAAGTAATTTACATATTAATACATTACCGGGACAGATTTCTGTTTAGAGCTATTTTAATATTTATGAACAAGACCCTTCAACAATGAACAGAAAAAAGGAAGAGCTGAATATGGCAGACCATGTTTATCAGGGAGGAGGAGGATGTCAGAGCCAGTATGGATTTGGAAGTTAATCTGTGCTTGAGAAATCTCGAAGGCTCAAGGAAATCCTCATTCCAGTTGAATGCACAGCAGGATAGATTTACAGAATAGTAGTTACAGTTCATAGCTGGTATACACAAGAACCCTTTTTTCCTAATTATCATATACTTTCCTCTGTATAAAGATCACATTTTTCTTTTGATATTTCAAGATAACATACTCATTGATGCTTATTAGTTAATTTATCGGTTTGAGGTCATCAGCGGTGACTACTTCTTGTTTGGGTTTTTTTGGTTCTTTTTTTTTTTTATTTTTCTTATAAGCAGTGTCAAAAGGAAAGCTGGGGTCAGATGCTCTGAACTATTAGAGTAATCCACACCAAAATGTTTTTGTTTAGGTAGCTGAGAACTACTTGGTACCCAAACCTCGGTCTGAGTAAGCAGCATTAAATTACAAGAAGGTCTTTGTGGAGTTCTGCATTCTGAGCATATTGTGTAATTTAGACTGAAACCTCAACATGTGATTAAAAAAAAAAAATTAACTTTACAAACATGTTTTAAAAACCAGTTGTTGTTACTGTTTCTGTTTAACTAGGATAAATAGCTGGATTTTCTTTTTTTTTTTCCTCATAAATTAAAAAAAGAGAAAATTCCAAAGCCTGTCATAACGTTGAAGATTTTTGTTCCCGCAGCAAGTTGTCAACTTCTGATGTCAGCAGGCGAAAGTGGTTGATACCAGGAGCGGAGTATTCCATCTTCACTGGCCAGCCTTTGGAAGTCCAGGAAAGCCCCAAAGATAACAGATTGGAGGAAACCTATATTCCTTCTAGGTGAGTTGGTTTCCTTCAGTATCCACTGTGATGTAAAGTTGAACACTTCTAAAAATAGTTTTATACAGTTGACCTGATCTATATTTCTAGATTTTGTACTTGTTAGAGTTCTAAAAAAATTTCTCAATGTTGTAGATGCTATACAATTCCTTAAAAACAAAGCGACCTTCTTCCTTCACTAACCTGGTATGAAGCAAGCAGCAGCTGCCCTGAAGCAGTACTTTCCTCGAAATATCAGAAAGCTTCAGCTGCATCTTGTGCCACTGTCTTTGTGCTCTCGTGTTTGTGTCCAGTTCTGCTCTGAGCTGGGACACGGTGTGCTCTGTTGTACTGGATGTGAGCTGTAGCAGTTGGCTGCAGCATTCCACCACTGTGAAGCTTCAGGTGTAATTTAGGGTGTAATTTAGTAGTTTGCCGCCTTACTCGGAAGTTTCTAAAGCCTCTGTCAGGACATATTTAGTTCTAAGAACATGTCAAGTCATGAAATTTCACTCGCGCTGTTCAGCTTTAGATTTTTGAATTGGCTGTAACAGTCCTCTAAGGTTCCTGGCTGAAATTAAAAAGCACCCTTAAAATTCTTGGTTTGATGACTGTAAATCTCAAACTAAATTTGTCCTGTTTTTTCTTTATTCAGCTAGTTTTTGGATATATGAAATAAAGTAAAAAAAACTTGATCCTTTTTTTCACTCCACCGCCTCACATTCTTTAAGGCGCCATTCTCCTCCTGAAAAAGACTCCTCACAAGAAGACTCTTCAATAAACACGATAGAAAAGAAAGAAAACGAGATGTCAGAAGCACCAATTATAAAAGCCTTTAAAGAACTGCAAGAAGGAAAAGCATTTAAAGATTGGGGTACACAGACAGAAAAAGAAGACACATCAGCTAGTAACTTTTATTTTTATATTCCTGAACTTGTCTTTGCTGGCTTTTATTTGTTTGCGTGTCTTTTGGTTTTGTTATTCTCAGCATTGAAGTCCATCAGACTTAAGTGATGGGATAAAAACAGTTTTAGCATGCAAACTTCTGGAGTTTGCCTAAGAAAATTAAAAATGATACAGCTAAGTGGCTTTGTTTAAAACAGAGGGAATGCAAAGGTTGCTGTTAGGTCTCAAGCTAGAGGGTAGTTAATGTCCTTTTTCTAAGAATATCTCAGTATTTATAAACAGTTGATGGAGTCCTAACAACGCTCTGGTGGCTGTACATCCATTTTAGTTTTGTTCTCATGGCGTTGTATCAGAATGTTATTAAGAAAGCTGGCATGTGCACTGTAGGTCTGCGTTGAGCTGTTCTAATGACATTGATTTAGAAAGTCATGTAATTAGAGAACATTTGAGTCTTTTTTAAATGCTTATATTCTTGGTTCAGATCGGTACTCCAACCCTCTTTCCCAAAAGGTGCTTTTTTTTCCTGCCTTCCACTGTCTCTTCATTAAATCAGTGTTACTTAGCATCATTTCTCCCACATGTGCTTCAAAGCATCCTTTCTCATGAGTTAAACTATCTGTCTTGTGCATATGATGAGCATGAAGCGAGACTTGAGCAAAATGGCACAAATATGTTGATGTGAGGCAGACTCAGAAGCTGAGTACCGGAGAATATTTGTGAGTTCTTGTATTGAAAAAGATTGATTAATATTTTTATCTTTTTCCTTTAAATTAGAAACATCAAATCGACGACAAACTGTTGGGTTCGTTGAAACTTCTTTAGTTGCTAACCGATCCCCAGAGAAAGGTAAAGACCAACACAGACCGAAACGGTACAGCTCTCCTTGTGGCCAGAGGTCATCGTCCCTTCCTCCTTCAAACAGGAAATCAAATACTCCAAGTAAGTGCTTTTCTGAAGTTGAGTTTGTGCTACTCAAAAAATAGAAGCAAATAATGAAAGGCTGCTCTAGAAGAAAGAAAAATAAAGCTAGGATTTCTGCATTATTCTAACGGATAGTCTGGGGGGAAAAAAGCTTGTCTATGATCATAGAAAATGTGAGAGTTCTAACTTTTCCTTTTTCTATGTTGCGATGCACTTTTCATCTAATTTAAAGATGTAGACAGCTTTGAGAACCATTCTTTTAAGATGTAAGCATCCGATCGCGTGAGTGGGAGATACAGCTTTGGGAGAAGTTTTAGATAGCTAAAAGTACTTTGTCTTCTGCAGCAAGAAGAGAGATAATGTTGGCACCAGTGTCTGTGACATACAGCCCAAAACGATCTCCGAAAGAAAACCTCTCTCCTGGGTTTAGCCATTTGCTTAGCAAAAATGAAAACACGGTGACAAGGTATGAGTTCTATGAATACAATTGTGTTCTGATTGTTATTATAGCAGCAGCATGTTTATGTGGGCTTAATATTGTCTTGCTATTTCTTGTTCATTAAAAGCTCTAGAAAATAAGTCATGTGAAGATTTCAGAATATAAAGCCAAGTTTTACTTTTTAAAACCTTGCAAGAAATACCTAGAATGATTTCACCAAGATGAGGAAGATGGGCATTCACCAAGATCAGATGTTGGGTTTACTCTTGACACAGCACTGATCAGTGACAAAGAAGTTACAGAAGAAATGTTCTGTGGAGTAAGTCCAGATCCACATGCTGCTTATCAGGAAATATAAATAAAAGTTGAAAGTGGTACCTGCCTCCCTGTCATGGTACTTACAAGCACGTTAAAAATACATAAACTTAACTTTCTGCTAACTGGACTAGATACTATGGTTTCTATAGAGATCTCTGCTTGGCAAGGCTTGTAGAGTTTCAGAGAACATACTTAGCTGCGAGATCAAAGAGTAGGACATGTGCACGAGGAAGAAGAAATGTGTAGCACCACTTTGATGGTTCTTGAGGATGACAGCGTTGGAGCTCAGCGTGTTTGGGAGTGACAGCTTGGCCTGCTTCTGAAAGCAAGCTGCACGAATGAGGTGTTTTGGAGTGTGCGAGTAGGAGTATATCAGGGCATGGTACTACTACCGGTAATCAGAAGAGTTGTGGTACCTGTGAGATAGAAATTGTTTTATAAACAATTTGTTTATTTAACCAAAATGTGAAAATGTAGGAAATTGTGTATTGGTTGAGCCATAATTTCTAGCAAGTAATTGTTGTGTTGTTCTGTAGATTTGATATACTTCTAGATGACCTGGAAGCTGGTCCTTCATCTTCTTTACAGCACAATAATCCAAGAAAAAGGCTCCAGTTTCTCTCACTAGATGATGTAGAAGGTAATCTGTCAAAGCTGGGGAAAATTGTTCTTTATTTTATTGTAATTTCTTCTACATTGGTAACAGCTGCTTAAATAGAAAACTGACACTTTGTGAAGTCCAACTTTTAAAAATCCTCCACATCTTGTCTTATTCCTATAGACAGAGAAATACCATTCATACAGTATTTTATTTTTATGTATATGTGTGTGTGCACAAACACAAGGGGACAACAAAAATAATTAAATTGAGAAAGAAGGGCAATACGTTTTCCTATGCTTAACTCAGTTATACAATGTATAGCTCAGTAGGGTCTGTTTAAGATGTACGTAGTCATACTAATAAAATTCTATTGCTAAACATTGCAGATAGCAAAAAGCAACTGTAGTAAAGCCAGTTGTTTCATACTTTAAATGATTGATTGAACGAAATCTTTTCTCACTTTTCTAGTTCTTGTCACAATTTTCTGCTTTTGTTTTCGTTAATGCATGTATTTAGACGAGTGTTTTCATGACAGCTGGTCTACATGGTGGTATTTAGAAATGTTGTACTAGTAAAAGTAATTCCTAATTAGCACAGTACAGTGATCTGTTGGTAACCAAAAACTATGCTGTGTTAGGAAGATCCTTTGAAAGATGACCCATACAAATGTTTCGCATTCTTCGGAGAAGTTTGCTTAAGGCAAGCTAATGCAGCTTTGCTCATCGCTGTCCTCAGTTTGTATACCTCCAGGGTCACACTGCTTTTCTTCTTGTTAGTTTCTTTTTCTGTCCACGTAAAAATTTCAGACAATTCAAAACCAAATAAAAAGACCCCAATTTTGTTGACAGGAAGGCAGCATTCAGGTGTTGGACACAGCTCTTGTGCTGAATCCATCAACACTGGAAAGAAGAAAGCGACAGTGTGGGACGAGGGGAGCATAGCACAAAAATATGAGCCAGTGCCATCACCTTCTGAGGGGGACTTCCAATATGCTGCAAGGATGAAGACTCTGACTGAAACAGAGAGGCTTTTTGATGAGCTGACTCAAGAAAAGCAACAGGCAAATATTATTTTTGTTTTAAAGTTGTGATGAAACATAGTTGTTGTGTGAGAGGTGAGGGATGTCGCCATACACCTGTGCAAGGCATGGCTGAAATTCTCGCACAGTTGCTAGCGTTCATCCCAGGAATGTGCCATTACCACTCCCTGCTTGCTTCCCGCGCTCCAGCCCTCTTCTGTCCCTAACTTCATTAACGGAGAGTCACTTTAAATCAGCCTTTCAAACAAGGAACGTTATTCTGGCAACTGAGAGTGCCCTCTTCAAAATGATCCCGGAGAGGGTCTGCTTACGAATGTTAACTTTGCTGTCAGTTGTGTATGGCACAGTATAATGGTAACGTAAGTTAGTGTTGAAGAACGAGACTGGAAATGTATCTGTGATCTCTACACCTCGCCTCTCGTTCTGTAAGATTAGTTAAGAAGGCTTATTTCGGCTCTTGAAACTTTAATTTACAGCTGAAGTATTTTCTGTTATTAGATTGAGGCTGCATTGAGTCGAATACCTTGTTCCGGTGGAAGAATGACCTTGCAAACAAGATTAAATCAGGTGAAAAAGCTGCTGCATGTGACTGTTCTCTTGAGTTGCTCTTCCACAATTTAAGAATATATAGTGTAGATGGCAGTTTCGCTATATAATAAGCGCCATTACTGTGGGAATTTTTCCATACCACTGAGAATTGTTCCTGAAGGTGGCTGAATTTTGACTCTGTGAAGGATGTTCTCTAGACTTTACTGCATTAGAAGATAATTGGGAAGTTACTGCAAGTTAATTATAAACATACTCTGAATTGCCATGTAAAAGGTGTAAGTCTGGATAATCCAATATGTATGCAGGTGATTCAGAAAAGCTTACTTAGCCCTGCAGACACCTGATTTCCTGCTACCCTGCCACAAACTGACAACTTTTCTATTTTGTGAGTGTGTGTGTATATATACACATATAAAGTATGTGTGTGTACACGTATATATACACACTACATGGTGTGTATTCTGCATGACTGTTTATTTCTTCTATTTTTTGTACATGGGCTCCATTTTTCCAAGTTACTGCAAGAACAGCCTGTTCTTGTGATAACACTGAGAGGTTGGTAAAAGCAATACATGAAGAAAATGCAGTGACTGTGAAATAGATCCCTGCCACTGCAGGAAGGATGTTTGGCTGTAGGAGAAAGTGCAAAGTTTAGGGTTGGGTTTGGCTGGTTGGGTTTTGTCTACTTGAATGTATAAAGGAGAAAATAAGAAGGCAAAAAGAAGTAGTGTAGGTGGAATACAGGAGAGCGCCTTCCTGGGAAAGTTCTGCAGACTCTTCTAATAAAAACAAGCGTTGCAAAGTTGTGTTTTGGAGGTTTCTGCGAAGCCTACAAGGTCAGCATTTGCTAAATTGTAAACAATTACAATTTGTAATTGTATCAATTAATCAATTTGAAAGTAAAAGTGCATTCCACTAAATCAATGCTGCCACTCACTGCAGTGGCCCGCTGTTTCCTAAATGTGTTTCCCTAATTATCAGCCTGTCCTAATTCTTGTCAAATTTATCTCGGGGAGTTTCAGAAGTCACATGGAAAAAACAAAAGTGAGGATCATTGGATGTTGTTGTATGTTATTAAGTACTTTTTTTTTTTTTTCCTTTCTTTAACTTTATTTTAGGAAGCTCTGGAAGATCGCTTGGACAGGATTAACAGGGATTTGGGGTCAATACGCATGATTCTGAAAAGATTTCACGTTTTACGTACCTCTGCAAATCATTGACAATTCTCTTGTGAATGCAAATATGCTTTTTTTTTTTTTTGCACTACTATGTAATTATGCACTCAGTAAATGCAAATTATTTTGTATTTTTATAAACCCTCAATAGTAGTTTTACAGCCATGTTACCCTTTACAAACAGCAATATTTTGTACTTTAAACAGCAACCTCTATTTTAAACATATTTTTGTTACACTTGAGAAATCAATGTTTATCCTGTAATGTAATATTTTTAGAAATATTATTTTTAAATAGCAATATTCAATTTATAATAAGAATAAGAAACTAAAAGGCAGCTTGTTTTCAGAAAATGATAGTGTTATCCTTTTGCACTTCATTTTCCTCACCATTTTATAAATATTTATGGTATGATGTAAATATTAGCCAAGAGGAAATTTTGAACTTTAATGCAAAAAGCAACATGAGTTACCTGTGAAGATAACTGCTGTTATATGGTAAATCCTTTTCATTAAAACCATATGACACGGATATTTTTCATTGTGACAAAACTGTGAGCAATACTTTCGTCATGGCTGGCTGGCTGCAAACTGGTCTGTTTTGCTACTTCTGTTGGCCGCTGGCTTCGTTAGGAAAACACTGCTCTAAATTACTTGGTGTGTCCCAACAGTGAGTGATGTTTTGATACCGCGCGTGCCGGGATTCACGAGACCGACAGCGGCCATCCCGTCTCCCAGTGAGCAGCTCGACTCCAGCTGACACCCCAGGACTCTGACCACTTAACTGAAGTTTCTGGATTGTGTGCCCTGCCAGCGTACGTTTCCAAACCAAATCCCAGCTGTATTTGTGAACATCATGCATTTTTCGTGGTGAAAAATACATATTTGCTAGTTGGCATATTGCTGAATTGCTGTCCAATGTTGATATTTTAGTTTGTATTTTAATATTAAATAAATGTTTAATTAGATTCTTTCCTCCTGCCCAAGAGCAATAATAGGTTCTGGGATATTACATCAGCGATAATGCAGGTTTTAATCACATTGTGTGTTGCAAATTCGGTCCTAGTTCAAGATGTTTAGCCACCAATGATGTGATTATACGGCCAGAATAGCTGTCATAAAGGAAGCTTCTGAAGGGCTGATTCTAAAATTAGAGTACTGTGTTTCAAGATAGTTGATGAAGGGCTGTCCTACCCCTGCACAGTCTTTTGCAAAAATGGTGGGGTTCGCAGCCCCTTCTGCCTGGTCGGGTTCTTTTAGTGCAAGAGCAGAGCTGGGGAGAGGTCGACGGGGTTGGTCACTGGTTACTCATTGTCCCCTTTACTCTAAGATGTAGCAATTTGGTCCGAATGCTTGGAGATAACCTGCTCAAATATACTTCCAGATCCGTGAACAGATGCACATTTTTGGTAGTATTCCATAGTCTTACTTCTGATTTTTACTTGGAAGGGGTTGAGGGAGGAGAAAAGAATCTTGACTTCCTTGTGCAGCTCTGCTGTTTAGCTGAAGAATTTTTTCGTACCATTTTAAGTTACTAACAGGTACAACTTAAAAGTGCCTTTCAGCAGTAACAAGCAGCAGGATTTTTCCAAGGAATCCATCGCTGGAAAATTTCACTTGGGTCCGGTAATGGTCTTGTTTTCTTTTATCAGCACGACAGCACAACCAAACAGCCTTTTCCTGACAGGCGTTAGAAACGAGTAGGTAAATCAGCTCAGCCGTTTCCCTGCCTTCCCTCACAGCCCCCCTTTAATCTCTGCTCCGTTCTTCCTGCTGCTGTTCATATTCATGCACTCTTTTATTACATCCAAAAACTGAATTGTGAGTCAGAATTTATTTTTTAATCAAAAGTCCTCCTCCTCTTTGGGCTATTTCTGTTCTATTATAACGCTGAATGGGGGCGAGGAGGGAAATGTAAGCGTTGCTCTTGGTAAACTTCCAGGACAACCTTTTCAAAGCAAGCCTGGCTTCGGGTGACCGGTTCAGAATGGTGCCTTTGGCCTGGTTCTGCAGCGGGGCAGAGGATCTGCAGTTCCAGATTAAATCAGCGGGAGGCCGGAATGCTCAGTGCTTCTCAAAATCGGACCCCGAAGCATCAGAAAGTGGGGCAGGCGAAGCTTGTGTTTACTGAGGAAAACGTGCCTGTGCTCGCTATGTGCTTTGCTGGACCCTGGGTTTTTGTAATCGCTTTTAAAATTCTTCCCCTTAACATGAGCAAATTGCCTTGTTCTGTTTTTGGCAACAACTAAGGACTTCCAGAGAAGCAGAAGCTTATGCTTCCTCCAAGGAGGACTTTAATGATCTTCCTCTCCTGTCCTTCCACCTGGCACCTCTGGGCTACGCAGGCATTTATCGCCCTTCCGGATCTACCAGGTTCTGCTCAGAGCCCCGGGCTTTGTCCTGTCTCGCGCTGCCCTTGCGCAGTTTTCGCTATGATAATAAACATGACAGCTCCTTCAGCTCGGGGACTTAACCGTAGCAAAATGAAATTTCTATTTGTCCACATCTCTAAGAAGAAAATAATAAATACAAAGTGACGCTGTACCACTGATAGCTGTGCTATAATCTGCCTTCCACAGGGAATTTTGTCTCTGCCAGGAGCTGTAGCGCAGCCTGGAGCTTGCTGCAGCGGGACAGGTACCGTTCGCCAAACGAACTCGTCGCCTGGGTGGGCTCGCTCTGGGTGTGGGGGGCAGCACCCAGGAGCAGGGCTGGGACCCCAGGAAGAGCAGGAACAGGCGCAGGCCTCGGTGAGGTGCAGAGGGGTCCCCGAGGACGAAGAGCGTGGGGCGTCAGCTGCGCAGCTCTCCCGGAGCTGGGCAGCTTGGGATCTCCCGGGGTTAACCCGGGGCTGGCTGCCAGCAGGGATTTGTCCTTGCAGGGTGGTGAAGAAGTAGTGATGTGTCCTTAAAATAAAACCCGCCGCAAACCGATAAATGTTTAAAAAGGCTCAGCGAGGCGGGTCGCTGGTTTATTTCTGAGGTTTCTGGATAAAATCATGGCTAAACCCTCACTGATTGTTTCCCCGGTCTTTG